CTTCCAGTTACATCGGAAATTTTGAAAAAACAGTAAAAACGAGCGAAAAAATTGTAAAAGTTTGAATTCGCGCGCTTTCACTCACCGGGCGGCCTAGAAAAACCTCGTCCCTAAGGGCTTTCAGCGTATTTTTCGATGCGTTTTTCTCGCCGAAGGAATTTTTTTTGATTTTTTTTCTTTATTTTTATGTCAATCTACATGCATTTCTGCACATTTTGATGCAATAAAAAATTTCACCGTACACCACCTTTAATAAGAAAAATCGAGAATTTGCACTTAATATTTCAAAAAAAAAACTCAATTTAAAAACTAGAAAAAGAAAAAGAAAACACAAAAATCAAGATTTTTTCCCGAAATATACAGTAATCCTAGATTTCCAAAATTTACAGTAATCATGGATTTCCAAAACCTACAGTAATCCAGGAATACCGAAGTTTACAGTAATCATGGGTTTTCAGAATCTACTGTAATCCTGGATATAGACATAAACTCTGAAAAGAAGCATATGTTTAGGTTACTGTAGTCGTCGTTCCAAATTTTAGCTCTGATTTTTTAGTTTAATTTTTTTCGAAAATTTTTTTTTCCAAATTTCAAAAAACTGCAATTTTCCAGCCTGGACACCGCCGATGTCGATGAAATCGTACTGGTTGGAGGATCGACTCAAGTTCCAGCAGTGAGAAAAATCGTTGGCCGATTTTTCAAGTGAGTTTTTTTCTACTATTTCTCAAAAAGGGCATATTTCGGCTCCCAGCCAGCCGATAAGGCTGATTCTTCTTCTGAGGACATCCGGACACACAGATCGAAATTTCGATTTTCAGGAAATCCGCCAACTACGGTGTGGACCCAGAGCTCGCCGTGGTGACTGGGGCTTCTGTCCAAGCGGGAGTGATCGGTGGCGGTTGGCCACTTCAAGTGGCAGCGATGGAACTTCCAGCGAAACGAAGGAAACGACACTTTTTCACGGAGCAACAGAAGGAGAATGAGCAAGATCGAGCAGCTGCAACAGAGCTATAATTTTGATTATTTTTTTTTTCATCGCTTTATCATGTTCCTTTCTTTTTTTTCATGTCAATTTGTATTTGTATTTACGGGATCCTTTTTGTATTGTAATTGGTTTTTGGTGGCCCAGAAAATCGGAAAAAAAATAGAGAGCTAGGCCATCAGAAAGACACGGTCAGCATTATTCTGGTACAAAAAAGTCGAGCTGTAGCTGTGATCAAAGGCCTCGAAACGATAACTACCGTAACCTAAAAGTTAATGTTTTCCATTTTGTTTTTCTCTTTTTTACTGATTTTCGTCGAAATTTCTGTCATTTTTGCCCAAAAAAGTCGGAAAATTATGATTTTTGAAGGTGAAAAATTGCCTGAAAAGCAGTCAAAATCGAGAAAATGAATTCTGAAAATAAAAAATATTTTTAGGTTACGGTAGTTGTCGTTGTAGGATCCCGATGTTTTGTACCAAAATAATAACATTTGGAGGTAACATCGCCCAAAACTTGGAAAAAAAAAAACAACAAACAATCCTATTTTTACCCCTAAAACCAACTGCATATCATTTTAGCTTTTTATTCTTAGTGCATTCTTCTTCTCTCTAATCCTCCTCTTTTCAAGTGCTCTCTAGTTGTACTAGGCATTTCCTATTTACTGTGATAATTTCTCTTTCCTTTCCCAAATCTTTCTTTCCCGTGCAATTTCAATGTCAAACCCCTATTCAAAAACATAATTTATTCATTTTTTCTTTAAGAAATTCAAGAAAATTCAAGTCATTTTATTCAGTTGTATTGAAGGTGTTCATTAGGCGATGCTCGTCAGTGGCTCCTTTTGGCTTCGCTGGTGGTGGTGGCGTAGCAGTCTTTGGTGGAGATTTGACTGCTTTGTTCTTATGGACCACCTGGGAGTCGGGCGGTTGGTTACGGAAGCCAGTGGAGCGCTTCTGGAAAAATCAATAAATGAGCGCTTCCGGAATTATCGATGCAAGAAACCTTCGGAGTCTTCAAATTGATGGGATGCGACGGTGTGGTTGCAGACAATTGGCTATGCGAAGACATCGACGTTAGGGACATTGTCCCTTCCAAAAGTGACAACGCTGATGACGTCGTCCGAGCGGTGTGCAGAGAATCCTCGTTGGATTTCTTCTTTGGGTTGTCTTTTTTTACTTTTTTGGATTTTTCAATAATAATGGAGAATTTGTTTTTTGGAGGAAATGGGTTACGGTAGAGGATGTGCTGGAAAATTGAATTACGAATTTTTTGGGGCAAGAGATAGACGCTTCCGAAGTATAGGTGGCGATAGAGTAAGAGAGTGCAGACAATGAGACACTCTGACTGTCTGCGCTCTCTAGTAGAAACCTACCCAACTTTGAGCCAAATTATCTCGAGTCCTGTGAAAGATATCAAAAAGTGGTCAACTAACAAAATATTTTTGTGATAAACATTTTATCAGTTGACAAAATTTTGATATCTTTTAAAAGAGCCGAGATATATAGGCTCAAAGTTGACGGTTTGGGTGGGCTTCTAATAGTCTCCTCTCAATATTCGAAATCTCCCAATTTCAAAACCCCACCTCCATATAAAACCTCTTTGCTTTTTCACACGCTTCATGTAGTGATTTCCTATTCTCGGCCATATCAAATGCCGCTTCGAAGTTTCTCGAATCTCCAAGATCCAGTGCAGTCTCCGTTGAAACTTCATTCATACTCAACGAGACAAAACGCTTGCCATTTTGGGATTGTCCACAAGTGAATGTCATTCTTTGTGGATTATTTGACTTCTCACCCAGATAATGGTTCACAGAGTTATAGGCGAGCTGAAATTTTTGAAGATTGGAAGTATTCAAATGAGCAAATTTGGGTTACGGTAGACGCTGAAAACCCACCGAAAACGGACTGTGATCGTCGACTCGTCTCGTTGTCACTGCGCCTGATTTCGTTATGATCACACGTTGCGAATTCGCCTTCATACATCCTGTTGTCATTTTTCTATTCAACCAGATTTCTCGAGGAGTTAGGAATGAGGAAACTTTGGAAAAAGATAGTATGGGTTTTTAGAAGCGAAATCTCAAAAACGTGGATTTTTAAGAGTGTATTCAAAATTGTACTATTATGCTTGTCTGAGAAAAAAAAGGTTGAGACGCAGAGAAAAAGTGTCTGCGTCTTCACTGCTATTTAGGCTCTCCGCTTCGATATCGCTACCGTATTCAGACTGCAAAAAATACTCTCTTACCTTTTTTTTCTCAGACAAGCATAATATCTAGGTTGAACCTACCCCTTTACAGTAAACCAGTTGGTTTTTCAATATTTTTCACCTGCATCAACTCTTCCCGTCTTCGAATATTCTTGCCCTACAGTAGTCCTTCCGATTTTTGAATACTTTTCCCTACAGTAATCTTTTTTATTTTCGAATATTTTCCTCCTACAGTAATTCTTTTCAATTTCGAATATCAGAATTTCCAGAATGGCTTTCTGTAGAATTCCATGTGGCATCAAATTTTACACATTACCTGTCAAAAAATTCAAATCTTCTTCTCGAAGGTTATGGATCACTAATGAAAAAGAACAAAGACACCAGAAGAGTCTTTAGAGAAACAAAGAGAAAAACTCGTCCCCTCTTTTTACCAAAGCCATAAGACCATCATTCGAAAATGCGGAAACTCAAGTTTTCCATATTTTTCTGTTTCCTGGCTCTCTGGAGTTTTTGGAATCGGGGAATTATTGAATGTCTACCAGAATGCCTCCTGATATCCTTTATTCTATTCTACTCTTCTCCAAAAACAGCTGTCACCAAAAAATTTCGCCCACGATTTGTTTCAATTGAAGATAATTTGATTCTAATGGCAATCGGAGACCTTCCATTGAATTTGAGAGAAATGGAAGCGTTTCGAAAAATCAAGGAATTCACTGGATCCTTTAGAAGTGTCAAGAGCAAAAAAATATTCTAAACTGAAATATTAGTCGAAAATTACAGATTCCACATTCACTTGGTTGGACCAATGGGAGGAATCTAGTTGTCGGAAATGACGGATTTACAGAAGCTTTTTGTGTTTCACTACAATCAAAACGAATTTACAAAAAGTTACAGAAGAAGGTATGGGTAATTCAAATATACCTAAAATTTTCGAAAAAAAAGTTTTCCAGACTGCAAGAAAAATATGGATTGACCGTCGGGAGCCCGATATCAGATAGTGATTATACCAAAGCCATAGATATTGCCAGGCAAGCAGATCAGCCGGAAAATGAAGCTGCGATTCAGTCTATGGTAGAAGAAAGGGATGAACGTTTCAACGCGTTGTGAGTTGAGCTACCGTGCAATCTGTAATAGAGTCCCCTAGGTTGAGGATACAAAAATATATAATTTTCTGTGATTTCAATTCATATAAGCCCCTCAGAGAAGAAAAATTTTCCCGGCCCGGCCCGACCCGCCGATCCAGAGACCGAAAACTTCAAAATTTTTCTGTTGATTTTTGATATACTTTTGTCAAAATAATCATTTTAAAACCCGCCTACTTTATGTGCTGAAGTGGATTTCATTGTGTTAAGCTTGAAGAGAGCGTTCGAATGGTAGTAAGATAAACTCTCTAGCATGAAAATGAACCAAGTTATGATGAATGGAAGTTTTAGTGGCTCGGGACGTTTTCAGGATTCTGGGACAGTACGTATCCTGAAGATCAAAAGGCTCTATCTCTCTTCTGAAGTTATGGAGCCGTGAGCGCGCGCCCTCATTTGGAGGCGCACACACAGAGAGAGAGGCGCAGGCAAAGGGGGGAGAGGGCGGAGACGAAAGGGTCGTTTCTCGAGAAATTTCGAGGAATCCATTCCTCGAAAAATTTTTTTCGAGAAATTTTTGTCGAAAATTCCTCGAAAAAGGCATTTCTCGAGAAATTTTTTTTTTCGAAAAGACACACTGCTTGTAACTTACCTTCTTTCAAGTTTAAGTTTCCAATATAAAAGTTATCGCCCCGTTTATCCTAAAAAGATTTTTCCAGATCCCCAAAACTTAGAAACTAGAATCTACATAAGTAATTGTCTTTTTCGTTGTTTTCAAGATTTTCCATGAACTGAGCTACTTATAATACAAGGGCTTCATACTGTCAGCTCATATATCTCGGTTCTTATAAAATATACCAAAACCTTGACAACAAAGAAAACACTTCTGTTTTTGTGATAAACAATTTTTAGTTGACTACTTTTTGATATCTCATACAGGAAAGGAGAACAATGTGATCAAAGTTAAAAATTAGGGGCCCTTCTATTACAGGTTTCACGATAACTCACAATTTATTGATCGACCCTATGAACCTCAAGGAAATCTAAGAACTTATAGTTACTTAATTCGGTTTCTAGGCCACTATATTATTACTCCAGACTGGGAATCAACTTCAAAGAATCTTGAGTTTCTATTCTCTTCTTCATCAAAATCTACAGTACTCCAAAAGTCATCGCTATTATCAAAAATCTCCGTGCAACTTCATTCATAGAATCAAAAAGGGGGATGATTTGAGGGGGTGTCATTCATATATTTAAACAAGTTACCTACGGATCGTGGTAATTATCGATTAGGACATTCAAAACAAGAAAAAAAATCAAAAGAAAAAAAAGTATCAGTGAATTCATGTGGAGGTGGAGGAAGAGCTTTTTAATATATGAAGAATGTAATTCAAAACTTTCTGATAATTTATTATTTTTTCATGATTTCTGAAAACTTGTCAAAAAATTCTCAGAAAAGCCAAAAAAAGAGCAAAAAATAGTCAAAAGAATTTTGAAAGAAAAAAAATAACTTGAAAAACAAGAAAAAGGATGTAACACGAGCACTTGATGATGACCTAGAAAACTCCTAGGCCACATATAGTGAAAGTTTTGGGGTTGTTGGATGTTGTTGATGAGCTGGGAGTAGGAGCGGGGGATTCGGATCAGAAATCGAGGAAATCATTTATTCCTTGGTGCTGACCTTCCATCCGAGAGCAGCCTCCTCACCGATGGCGGAGACGACTTGAACGAGAACGGATCCCTCGTCCTTCTCAAGAGCATCACGGATTTGTTGTCCGATCTCGTTGTCTGGAACTCGGAGGTCGTCCTTTTGATCACAGGTTTCTGGGTCCATGAGGGAGAAGAATCCGTCTTCGATGGACATCAACTGGGAAAAAAATCCGTTATTGAAAAATTAGTGATGATGAATAAAAAATAGACTATTTGTTAACAAAAAAACAAATTTCTAGGTTATCCGAGAGTCAAGATACATGCGTTTGAAGCTGAGACAAAATCGCTGAGTATCAAACGACCGCTGTATCTCAGCTCTCGGAAGACCTGGTATCTGAATAGGTAGTACTGTAGGAATAGTTTTTCTAGCTTGTCTGGGAGGCGAGATATTGAAGTTACCGCAGAAACTGGTATAAAAGGGTCCCCACACTTTTAACTTTGAGCTCAATTATCTCGGCTCCTGTGAAAGGTATCAAAATGTAATAAACTGATAAAATACTTTTAATATTATGACAAACATTTTATCAGTTGACTAATTTTTGATATCTTGCATAGGAATTGAGATAATTGAGCTCAAACTTGACAGTTTGGAGACCTTCAGTTACAGGTTTTACAGTTTTCAAAGATGCGTATCTTGCTTCAAAGATAAGCTAGAAACTCCAAACTTTAAAGGAGCATATCTAGAAAATTGGGTTTTTGATGCATGAGCTCTTCATAGAGCATTTGTCTAGCTTGCCATGGAGTCGATAGCTTGAGATTCCAAAAAGTTAAAAGTTCCATATCTCGGCTCCCAGGCAAGCTAAGGATTTAGTTTTTTGAAGCTTGGTAGATCATAAGATGCATGATGCGCAGTTCATGAGCTTGCTAGCTAATTACGGACAGCTAGATACGGACCTTTGAAGCCTTAGAGACAGCTAGATCATCTACTTTTCCTGATTTTACAGGATCATATCTCGGCTCCCTGTCAAGCTAGAGAATTGATTTTTCTCACCAAATCGAACCTAGAAACTCACCAAGTACTCACGACGCTTGACGACTGGAACATCCATGTTGTGGGTGGATGGGCAGATATCTTCAAGCTTCTTTCCGGTGAAGATGTCGATGGCGACCAAGTGGACCTTAGCGTGACCGTGCTTTCCGGTCTTGGAGGTCGACATTTCGACGATCTGCAACACAAAAGATGTAGAACAATTCAGAAAGAATTTCAGATTCTTCTGGAACTTAAATGTGCTCAGCAAATTCTTAAAAGTTGGCATCAAGTGTGACGTTTCAGCCGAAACTTATCCAAGTCAGTCATTGCACATTTAACTTTTATAAAAACTTAAAATTTTTACGAACCTTGCATGGACGTCCCTTGATCATGACGTGCTCGTTCTTACGAAGAGCCGAGCATTGCTTTGGGAAAGTGGCGGCAGCGCCAGAGTCTCCGGTGTGGAAGTGCTCGTCGTCGTCGTGATGATCGTCGGACATTCTGTCTCAGTTGGTACCCTAGAAAATTTGAAAATTTGAGTAATGTTTCCAGAAAGTTCTACAAGAAATAGAGAAAAAAATAGATGATGATAATTCCGATCAATCGATAATTTTTTATTTTGGGATCCTACAGTACCATGTACAGTACTCTAGCGTACAAAAATTGCTCAGGCTTAATTCCCATAAAATCACCCAAAAAGGTAAAGAAAGAAGCGAAAAAAAGACTTTCAAAAGTTGCCTAAACAGTTCGGTCTTCTTACGTAAATACACCATTTCGCTGTGTATCGCTTTACAATGGTTGAGTCGCTACTCAGCGAATTCCGCGGACCGCGTGGCCGCCGATGGGGCGCTTTTGCTGGCTGGCGGGTGGTTAGGGATCGAGGGGCAAGAAGAGACGCAGAGAAGGACGTTTGCAGTTTTGAGGGGGGTAGATGCAAATAAAATGACAACATGGAGTAGTGTATGGTCGACGGACGACGGGCGGACAACCGGAGGTTTATTAGTGTACAGTGAGAGAGAGAGAGATAAGATAAGGGGAAGAGAGAGGGGTTAGGCGGTTTTTTTCGGGAAAAAATAGCCAGGAATTACAAGGTTTTGAAGATTCTGAGATTCTGAGATCCTGAAGATCTGAGATCCTCAAAAACTGGATTTGGAATGATTAAAAATCTGAAATCCACAACTTCTGGAATTTAAAGAATTCGGAATATTGGGATTCTGAAGTTTTGAAATTCTTAAAATATGGAAACAGAAAAATGAAAAATCTGAAATTAAGAAGTTTGGAAATTTATAGGTTTCGGGATATTGGGACTCTGGAATTCAGGAAATCCGAAATTCTGAAGTTCTGACATTCTGAAATTATCATATTCTCCGATTCCGATATTCTAAGATTTGGAGATTCGGAAGTTCGTAGATTTTGGGATATTGGGATTCTGGAATTCTGAGATTCTGAGATTCTGAGATTCTGAGATTCTGAGATTCTGAGATTCTGAGATTCTGAGATTCTGAGATTCTGAGATTCTGAGATTCTGAGATTCTGAGATTCTGAGATTCTGAGCTTCTGAGATTCTGAAATTCTGAAACTCTGAAGTTCTGAAATTTTGAGATTCTGCGATTCTGAGATTCTCAGATTTATAGGTTTTTAGATTTTTAGATTCTGAGATTCTGAAATTCTGAAACTCTGAAGTTCTGAAATTTTGAGATTCTTCGATTCTGAGATTCTCAGATTTGTAGGTTTTTAGATTTTTAGATTCTGAGATTCTGAGATTCTGAGATTCTGAGATTCTGAGATTCTGAGATTCTGAGATTCTGAGATGCTGAGATTCGGAGATTCTGAAATTCTGAAACTCTGAAGTTCTGAAATTTTGAGATTCTGCGATTCTGAGATTCTCAGATTTGTAGGTTTTTAGATTTTTAGATTCTGAGATTCTGAGATTCTGAGATTCTGAGATTCTGAGATTCTGAGATTCTGAGATTCTGAGATTCTGAGATTCTGAGATTCGAGATTCTGAGATTCTGAGATTCTGAGATTCTGAGATTCTGAGATTCTGAGATTCTGAGATTCTGAGATTCTGAGATTCTGAGATTCTGAGATTCTGAGATTCTGAGATTCTGAGATTCTGAGATTCTGAGATTCTGAGATTCTGAGATTCTGATTTCTGAGATTCTGAAAATCTGAAATCCAATACAAAATATTCCGATTTCTGATTGTTTATCCAACCAAAAGGATCCGATTCTTCAAATTCAATTTTTCTAAAAACCAAAATAAGGAAGCCTATAGGACACAGAAGAATCTAGAATATCGAGGGGCAATAGAACAGAAAATTTCATTTCCTGAGATTCTTTTTCAACGTCTTCTGACGAAGAAGAATCCTTCTTCGTCACAAAATAAAACTTATTTTAGTCTTTTTTTTTGAGTTGGAAAACATTTTCTGAGATTCTTTACAATCTACCGGAGTCGATTTTATGAAAATCATGATACTTTCAGATTCAGAATGCCTGAAACTTTAAAATACCAAATCCTAAAATTCTGAATTACCATTTTCTGAACTTCCGACTTTCTGAATTTCTGAATTTCCATTTTCTGAATTTCCAATTTCTGAAATTCGGAAATTATGAAATTTTGATATTTTGAAATTTTGAAATTTTGAAATTCTGAGATTCTGAGATTTTGATGTTCTGAGATTCTAAGATTCAAATATTCTGAGGTTCTGAAATTTTTATAATCTGGAAATTCTGAGATTCTGAAACCCAAATATTCTGAAATTCTAAAATTCTGAAATTCCTGATTCTCAGATTCTGAATGTCTGAAACTCTGCGATTCTTGACCAAATTTGTTTATCAAATTCTCAATTTTTTCTCTCTAATTTGCAGGTGTTCTTTTTTCTAATGGTCACCAATTATGAACCAATTATTGATATGTCTGAAAAACTTTTTTCGCTTAAAAGTTAGTCAGAATCTTGGAATTTCAAACATCAAAGTTGAACTCCTTCTAAGCTTTTTAGTTTGTCAGAATTTCAGATTTCAAGTTCAAATTCATCTGCAAAACTCCTGCTCGAAAGCCCAAAAAATTTTTTACTGCTAAAAGTTTTTGATCTCTTATTCTCTTTTCTGCAAAAAAATTTTATTTTTCTTCATACATTCCTATACCAAAAACAAGTTTGCCTCTCATCTCAAATAAACTCTGACCTCTGAAATCCTATGCATACATGTAAAAAACTAAAAACAACTAAAAACAAAAAAGATGAATGAAAATATAAGCATGAGAGATCCCCCTTCACTCATCATCATCACAGTGTTCGCCGTCAAATGATATTTTGACGATTTTCAGTCAAAAATAGCCAATTTTGGAATCCTACAATAGTAGTTCACATTTTCATGATCTCTCTGAAAGTTTCAGTGTGTACTGAACGAAGATAGAGCTTCACTTTTGTTGTTGATAACTTTGTGGTAACTTTTTTGGTTTTCGAGATGTTCGCCTTCAAAAATACCTTACCCTCTCCCCTCTTTTCCTCTTGTATTGTAGCGGCTTCAATCTTCAAAGGCGCATGTCTCAAAAACCAAAAAAACTAGAAAAAAGTTGTCCAGTATAAAAATAGAGAATTAAAAACATTTTTGGAGCACTTTTTCAAGACTCTACAATTGACTATTTTCTACTGAAAAATTTAAAATGGTCAATTTTGGAATCCTATAAAAGTGATTCAGCATTTTTCAATTTGTCTGAAAATTTCAGAATATACTAAACAAGAGTAGAACTTCATTTTTGTGATGAACAACTTCTTGTAACTATCTTGGTTTCTGAGATGTGCTCCTTTAAAAATACTGTATCCTCCTCTCCTTTTGCACTGTAGCGACTTCCATCTTTAAATGCACATATCTCAAAAACCGAAAAAAAACTTATTAAAAAGTTGTCAATTACAAAAATGAAAATCTAATTTTGTTGAGTATACTCTGAAATTTCCAGACAAATCGAACAATTCTGGAGTACTTGGGTTAGACTCCAAAGTTGACTACCGTAAACGCTTCAATGGAATGTCTCCCCAAACCGTCTATTTTGAGCCTATACATCTCATTTTTTGTGTAAGATATCGAAAAGTGCTCAACTGTTAAAATGTTTATCAGAATATTACAAAAATGTTGTTAGTTAACTACTTTTTGATATCTTTTCCAGGAACATAGATAAATTGGCTCAGAGTTGAAAGTTTGGTCGGTCATTCTAATCTCTTAAAAAGTCTAAATGTGATAAATTTTTGTTCGGGGTACTGTATGCCTAGAAATATTTTTCTATAAACCGAATCCGGTTTTTTGAGAATTCGGAATAAAAATAAACCTGAACCCAATTTCCAGAACTCTCTGACAGTATCCCATTTCATAGTTCAAACTGGGTGACCGAATGGCGGACTAACGGCGGCCGAGTGCTATTAAGAAAGGAAGAGAGGAGACATTCGGAGTCACTAATATCCATTTCTGTGAAAGATATCAAAAAGTTGTCAACTGATAAAATGTTGGTGATATCATGATAAATATTCTATCAGTTGACAGTTGTTTGATATCTTTCACATGAATCGAGATAATTTAGCTCAAAGTCCAAGTGTAGGGTCCGTAAACAGTAGTAGAAAGATTCCCTAACTTTTAACTTTTAACTCTATTATCTCGGTTCCTATAAGAATGATAAAAAATCTGTCAACTGATAAAATATTTTTGATAATATCACCAACATTTTATCAATTGACAAATTTTTGATATCTTTCACAGGAATTGAGATAATTCAGTTCGAAGTTGACAGTTGTTATTTTTTTCCGATCGCCTAAATTATGACCAATGAAGATTTTTCTCTCTCCCAAAGGATCCTCGACAAATAGTCCACTCATTTTTGTTCCTCGCTCCTCCTTGTTCCTTTCTTCGCTTTTCTTAGTTTTTCTTCTGTCCTGTTTATGTCAAAAATAGAATAACAAAACCACTTTTCTCCTCTGTCGTCATCTCGCTTTTTTCTCAATTTTTAGACTAAAAGCTCTTCCGAAAAAAAGAGAACTTTTTTTTGACATATCCGTATATTTTTTTCACTTTTCACTCTGATGACAAATTTTTAAATGTTTTTGAGACGAAAGTTTTTCTTTTTGGTTTTCCGCTTGAATTGTGTCATTTTTTACTTCTTTTTTGAAGAAAAACACAAAAGTGGTTTTTGTTTTAATTTTTGATTGAATTCCCGATTCTTGAGATTTGAAAAACAATGAAGATGAATCCTATAATTAAATTTGCCAAAGTTTAGAATATCAAAATTTCAGAATTTCTAAATTCTAGAACTTTTTGTTCCTATTCTTGAATTTTCTGATTTTCTAATTTTGTTTTCTGACTTCTGAAAAAAGGAACAAAGTCAAAACAGCAATTTTGAGAATTTCGGTTTTTGTTGTTCGAATATTGCTTTCAAATCGGAAATTCTGAAGCACATATACTAGCTTTTTAAAACCGATAACTTTCTAAGAATTAGAAATATTCGAAATTTTCGAATACTTTCAGATGTTTTTTTAGTTTTTCAGGTTTTTGAGATTTTTTGACATTTTCAGGCAACTAAAAATTACAAATTCAAAATAATTGGAAATTAAAAGTTTCAGTTTTAGAGTCGAAAATGTGAAAAATTAGGAAATTTTCAAAACTTTACATTATTAATATTAAATCACATCACTGTTGAAATTTCAGCCTTTAAGAATGCAAGACATACTTTTTGAACTTTGGAACTTTGAACTCAAAATCTCATATTTTCCAACCTATGGTGCTTAATCTTTACTCTCGAAATTCAACGATATATAAATGAGAACACCACATTCCTTAACATGTCATCAAAAAAAGCAAATCTCAGAGAAAAGAATTGAAAAAATCGGAAAAAAACTAATCAAAGGAACACCGGAGCAAATGGAAAAACATGCTTCTGGTTCATTTTTTTCAATTCAATTTTTTTAAAAATTTGAAATTTCGAAAGTTTCTGAGATTCGGAGATTCTGAGATTCTGAGATTCTAAGGTTCTGAGATTCTGAGATTCTGAGATTTTGAGATTCTGAGTTTCTAAAGTTCTGAGATTCTGAGATTCTGAGATTCTGAGATTTCGAGATTCTGAGTTTCTGAGATTCTGAGTTTCTGAGTTTCTGAGATCCTGAGATTCTGAGGTTTTGAGATTTTGAGATTCTAAGATTCTAAGATTCTGAGATCCTGAGATTCTGAGATTCTGAGATTCTGAGATTCTGAGATTCCAAGATTCTACAACCTTCAGATTCTGATCCCAAAATGTCAGACTTCTAAAATACTTAAAATCATGATCTCTGAAATTTCAAAAAACCTAAAAGTTTTTTGACCTAAAACCCCAAGGAAGTGCAAAAAACTTCCAAAATTCTCAGAAAAAAAGGTTGAAGAGTTCAAAAAAACTGCTGTCATTTCCTGTAGAATATTTTTCATTTCCTGAGTCGGTAGTCTATGTACCGCAGTGAACTCACATGGGTTCAGAAGGAAATATATTTCCTTCTTTCATCTAGAAATTTCTAGATTAATCATTTTAAAAAATCTTTTTTTTTGAAAAACTTCTTTGAGCTCAAATCAAGATCTTAAATTTCATAAGAAATTATAAAATCTAGGTGCTGTAAACACTCTAACAGAGTTCCACTGAAACTTTCAACTTTGAGACGATATATCTTATTCCCTGCGAATGATATCTAAAAGTGATCAACTGACAAAATATTTTTGTTTTTGTGTTACAGATTTCGTCACTTAACTAAACAAATTAATTAACTAGTTCTTGATATCTTTCACAGAAACTTAGATATATAGTTTTAAAGTTAATGGTTTCTGTGGCCTTCTATTAGAGTGTTTACGGTAATTTCAAGTAGATCATATTCTCAATCCCTGTGACGCAGATTTTCCATTTCGTCTGAAAGATAATGAATAGTATTAATACTCAAAAAAAGAAGAATTAGTTTACGTCCCTAATCCATATGGAGTCCTATTCATCTCATTTTTCAGTTCCTCATTTTTCTGTTTTTCTTGAAATTTTTTTGAAATTTCCTCCACTGAACTAATTTTAGATTGTCTATGAAATTAGAAAAATTTATACTCAATTAACGCTGAAATTTATTTTTTTAAAATCCTTTCAAAAGCCGGAAACATCCTAGAATTTTGATGAAATCGTCATGAAAACTGAATTGTATGATTTCGCTGATCAGAAACATACGATCTTGAATCTCTGCAACATCAGAACTCTGTTTTTCTTTTTCTTAGTCTAGCCAGTACAGAAACTGTATCTATAAACTCTGAAAACATTTAAAACTTCATAATGGTTTTCCAGTTTTTCGTATAGTTGCTTAATATTTACAGAGACAATAGAAGAATCAAATCTCTGGAGGGTATCATTGTTCTTATTGTAAATAAAGGATCAGAAATCTTTTTTCATTTGTTCAAAAACCCTTCGAGCTGAAATATCTGAAAATTAGAGCGCCCATATTTCTAGGAAAAATCTAGAATTTTGAATGACTTTCAGTTGAATGAAAGTCTTAAAATGCCCAAAGATGTGCTCTCATAAAATTCCAAAAAATCCATAAAATATCCGTTCAAAAATGCATCTCTAAGACCCATGAAACATCTGGAAAAGAAACCGAAAAATAGAATGGAAGGACCATTAAACATTTTCGAGGTCAACGTCTTCATTTTCTTTTTTGGGAACAATACTGTTATACAAATGAAGGAGCATCAGAGTTTTGGCTAATTGGAGACTAGCTCCTAAATTTTAGTTTTGAAATGGAAAAAAAATACTTTCCGAACTCTTAGAATTGGCTTTTTGAAATAATCAATTTTTCCAAATAAAATTTAAAATAGTTTTTTTTCTCTATTATTGGGATTCGGAATCTCGGAAAATCAGAGATTTGAAAAAATGAGATTAATATTTTTAGAATCTTAATTTTTCACAATTTGAGAATCTGAAAATTATAGAGTTTCGAAATCTGAAATGCTAGTTTCACAATAGTTGGATTCTGAAATTTTGAGCAGTTTTAAATTTGAATTTTTAAATTCAAAAGTTCTGAGAATTTGGAAACTTGAATGTCATTAAACTGCAAAATCCTAAAATATCAGAAACTCGGAGTCTAGAATCTCAGAATCTCAGAATCTCAGAATCTCAGAATCTCAGAATTTCAGAATCTCAGAATCTCAGAATCTCAGAATCTCAGAATCTCAGAATCTCAGAATCTCAGAATCTCAGAATCTCAGAATTTCAAAATCTCAGAATCACGGAACCTCAGAATTTCGGATTCTCAAAATCTCAGAATCACGGAACCTCAGAATTTCGGATTCTCAAAATCTCAGAATCTCAAAATCTCAGAATCTCAGAGTTTCAGAATATCAGAACCTGAGAATATCAGGATCTTTGAGATTCAGATTCTCAGAATGTCTGAATCTCATAATCTCAAAATCTCAGATTCTAAAAAATTCAAAATCTCCAAAAAATTCGCTTCCTGATTTTTTCCCAAACTATGTATACACATATTTTCATTCCCAAATAACCAAAAATTCCTCTAAAAACTTGTGCTTTTCCATCAAATATTCCACACATGCCTCTCGTTTTTTTTCTTCTCATCTGACGTCTTCTTTTTTCTCCGTTTTCCACGTCTTCTACTTTTTTCTCGCCATTTGTGCTCCAAAAAAAGAAGTTCACCTAACTTATTCTGATACGTTTTTTTTCAACTTCTTCTTGATAACCATCACGCAATCTGAATTTTTTTGAAGCGAGATCGCGAAATTTCTCCAACGTCTTCTAGATTTTTTTCAGATTTTTTGAGAGATTTTGAAACATTTTTCACAAATTATTCATCAACTTTCGCTTTTCAAAAACGTCATTTGAGATCCAAGATTTTTGACTATTTAAGAAAAAATTCTATCTCCTTTTTTTCCGTTTCAGAAATTTGAGATTTTTGAATTTTTGAAGTTTCAGAAAATCCAAAAAATCAACTTCTGCTGAAAATGCTGAAACAAAGCCAATCGGTCAAGTATCCAAGGAACTCGCGACCACGGAAAGGTGAGCAATAGTAGTTTTAGATTTTCAAGGTTTTCAAAATTTAAAGAATGCTAGGATTACAGAAATCCAGAATCCCAGGATTTAGGGTTTCCGGACTTTAAGATTCCGAGTTTCTGAGATTCTGAAATTTTGAGATTCTGATTTCCTATATCCTGTTTTTATTCTCTTGCAGCTTACTGTAGTTGTCATTTTTATTGGTTCCCTTGATGTGTTTTACGAGGTGTGCATGTGTCAAAGGATTACTGTAGTTTTATGTGCTGTACAATTTTTAATTGTTTAATTGGAGCAGAAACTCTTTTTTAATGCGTACCGAGCCTAAAATTATGGGGTTCTGGGTGTATAAAAGAGATCTGCTAGATTTTCAGGGCTAGCTCGATTCTTGGAACCCCCCTTCCCTTGGCCTAGTTTTTTCTAGGCCAAACTTTGTTATCTTCCTTTTTTCCTTTTTTCAGTGCTCAAGACTCTAAAAATACTTTTCCGAACATAATTTTTCCGAATAAACTTGCAGCGTTTCAGCTTGATCTACGTTTTGATGAACAAACTGTTAGGTTGGTAAAAAAGTAATGCGTTTTTGATGTACTTAAAATTTATGCAAAGCCAAAGTGCCAAAACAAAAGTATATCAATCGATGGGGTATTCTTTATTATTATTGACCCATTTCTGCCAATGTATGAGCAAAGATTGGATGCATCTGTTGTAGAACTACACAGAACTACAGCTGTGGTTCGAAGTAGTTCTGACCTATTATTTAAGACACATTCTCTGAGAGAATTGAGATCGGGTCAACAGGCGATGGTAATGGAAAAAATCAAATGGTCGTAGAAGTCTGGTCCATAGCCCCTATATCCACCATATACAATACCAGAGCTCTAAGACCATTTTGATTTTTTTCCATTGCCATGGTGTTTTCGAGTTTCTCAGAGATTGTGTCTTAAATGAGATAATTCCCAGGTGATAACATAAACTTTGCATCTGTGGCCTAACTTTTCGAAACAACCCAAAACTAGCTCATGATTGTAAAATGACAGTCGGAAGTCCAAAAGGTAGCAAATTTCGAAAAAAAACTTGAAGCTTTCTGGAACGTTTCTGTAAAAAATATGGCTTGTAGGTCTAACTGGAAAACTAGTCCACAACGATCTTCCGACTGGTGCCCTAACCTTTCAACCGGTGACCTAACTTCTCAAATCAACCAAAATCTGGGCTATGCTTACTAATCATTTGATCAGTACCAGTATGATATCATTTATCGAAACATCAATGAATTTTAATAATTTTTTTTTCCACTTTACGCACTGATAACTTCTGGGATTTCTAATCAGTAAATGGAGAATCTCATGATATAAAATTTCTAGACGAATGAATAATTTTTCTTAAGAGTTCATTGAATTGTTTGACACAACCTGACGAATTTGAAGTTTTCATAGGAAAATTCACGAAAATCTATGTTTCTGGAGTTTTCGAGGACTCTGGAATTTCAAATTCTGAGAATCTAAAAAACTTTGAAAACTTCTTTTCAGATTTTTCTGAACTTTTTTCCAGGATTTATAAGTTTTGTGAACTTGAAGATTTGAAATTTCAGAATTTTAGAACCTGAAAGTCTCAGAATCTCAACATTTCAGAATCTCAGAATCTCAGAATCTCAAAATCTCAGAATCTCAGAATCTCAGAATCTCAGAATCTCCGAATCTCAGAAACTTTCGAAATTTCAAATTTTTAAAAAAATTGAATTGAAAAAAATGAATCTGAGATTTCAGAATCAGAATCTGAGATTTCAGAATCGCTGAAATTCCAGTTTCTTGGTGGTCCAAAAGTGTTTTTCCAAGTCATATATTTGTTTTCTGAAGTGGGGTGACCCACTTCAGATGACGTCGGAAGACGTGAGTCACCAAGAAACCCTATCGATGACCTCTTCAGCCAAAAAAAAAGGACCACCTAAAAATAATTAGTCTTTTTCCGTTTCCCATGTGACAAAATTCATACATATCAGATGACGTTGTTTTTTTTTCTTCCAATTTCTGCTCTCCTCATCATTTTCATCTACTTTTCTTCCTCATCATCTTCATTGGTCCCTTCCCTCTCTCCATATAATAAAAAAGAGTATTTTTTTCAATTAATTTATGTCTTCTGAAGCTTCTGAAGACCACTAACAGCAGCCCGACGTGCATCTGGTGGTGGTCCGTCTTTTTTGTAATGATGAGAAGAAAAAAAAAATAGAAGCCTTTTTTGCAATTTATGTGAATAATATATTTGTAGAAAAAATAAAAACAACTGTCCCCATATAATAATATGAATGAGCAATTAATTATTTTTAGTGGGAGGAGTGAATTCTAGATTCTAGATTCTAGAAATGCAAATTTTCAGATCATACGAATCTGATTTCACTTGAATTCTGGATTTGAGAATTTTGAGATTTCTGAAACTCGGTAAATGTGGGCAACTTATTCCCCAACTCTGGGTAGCCTTTGTCCCAACTCCAGCCAACTTCTAGCATTTCATAGGTCAAACGCTGCCCAGCTTTAGGACGGCTTCTGTCCAGCGTCTGCCCACTTGTAGACAGCCCGCTCTGGCCCCTCCTTTCCCGCTGTTCTGCTTCTTCAAGATTTGCTAGCTTTGCTAAACAGCATTCATTTTATTTGAGGAATTAAAAGAAATATCAGAAAAGGGTGAAAAATCGAAAAGGAAAACAGAAAAAGTAAAAAACTTAGAAAAAACAATTCGATCAACGACAATTATAAGTTTATCTTTCAAAATATGGAAGTTTAGTTTTGATGTAAAGAGTATGAGTTATCTCACCTTGCAATTTACAAGAATCCCATTCTGTTGGTCAAAGTGATAAGTTCGAAGAAGTTGCCTGGAAAAGATCTAGTTTTTATAGAAAAAGTTTCTAGAAACTCACAATGCTGCATGAATTGCATGACGAACAAGCTTGTCGGCTGACTCGTAAGAATTTCGACGTCGAACGATTTCTTTGCAAGCTTCCTCGTACGGATATGGCAATCCTTTGACAAACTGTTCCATTATATCGTCTTTCTAATCGTTCGTAAATGGGTTCTCATAAATGTCTTCTTCTTTCTCTTGTTGAATGTTCCGTTTCGTCGAAGGTTCTAAAATTGAGTCAATGTGAGACTTAATTTAGAAAAAAAATCATACCTCCTGGGTGGGATACTTCTGATAGGATTTCGTAGATTTCTCATCTTGCTAACTGATATTCCATCTCTTAAAATGAAACATTAAAAAACTCATTCTATTCTATTCTCACAATGGCTTCTCGTTTTTTTTTCGCTTGCCCCGATTCCACTCATCCTCCTGTTCCTTTGTTGAAAACTGAAAAAAAGGATAAGAAATTGACAGTATTTGAAAAAATTTAGAGATAATGGTAAGAAAATTAATAGAAAACGTATGAAAAATAGTTTTAAAACCTATAACCGTTAAAAATGCTGCAACATCGCAACCTTCTGAGCTTCTGCTCAGCGTCTGCTCACCCTTTGCCCCTCTGCGCGCCGTTGGACTATTGCCCTACTTCTGCCCAGCCTTGGATCAAAGACAGCCCGCAGTTCTTCTGCCCCAAAGTTCACCCAACTTCTGCCCCAAAGTTGCCCACATTTACCGAGAAAGTGACATTCTAAACTTTGAAAGTTTACAAATGTATTTAGCAACCTAAGTCACAGAGGTCTTCAGACTGGTGGCCTAGTTTTCCAGGTGAAGGCCTAACTTTTGCACCGGCGGCCTAACTTTTTGAATCAATCCAAAACTAGACCATAACCCGAAATTGACATTCTAAACTCCACTTGCAAATTTCGAAAATTTTGATTCTGCAACTTTCTGGAAAATGATTGAAAAAAAAATTTAGCTTGTCGATCTAATAATCTACCTATCTAGAAAACTAGAGCACAAAGTTTTTCAGGCTGGTGGCATAATATTTAAGTGACGGCCTAACTTCTCAAAACTAGGCCACTAACCATGTGATCACGCCCACTATATGACATCATTTATCAAGAAATCAGTGAATTTTCATAATTTTTCCACGTTACGCACTGATAACTTTTGAGTTTCCTAATCAGTAAACAGATAATCTTATGATATAAAATTTCCAGATAAATGAATAATTTTTCGTAAAAGTTCAGAAGAATTCTAGCCGAATTCATACGGAATTTTCTTTATTTTGGAATTCTGAAACTTGAAAAAAATCTGTTGAAAAATTACGAGAGCCGATTCCAAACACTCCCCAGAGTTGTTCTAAAAATCTAAAAAACCCTCGAATTTCATAAAAAGAAGTTTCAACTATTGAAAAGTATGATTTTCGAACTTTTGAAAAATTCCCGAATTTCGTTTTTTTTTCTCAGATTTAAACTTTTTTTCAGATTCAGATTTTTCCTGAAAATCTATAATATAACTCTCCAGTTCGTGCCATCCGTTGTTTTTTTATCACATCCTACTGTAGTTTTATTGTTTTAATAGGTTCACTTGTTAATTTTTTTTTTGGTATAATTGGGAGGGGCGGAGCCTGTTGTTTGTGAGGTACTGTGATTTATGGGGCTTTTTGATCTACCGTACTAATAGAAGCCCATCCTGACTGTTAACTTTGAGCTGAACTATCTCGACTTCTGTGAAAGATGTCAAACATTTGCCAACTAATAAAATATTGGTGATATTTTGATTAACATTTTATCAGTTGAACGATTTTTGATATCTTTCACTGGAATCGAGAAATGGAGCTCAAAGTTGATGGTTTGGGTTGCGAAATACGGTAGTTCCCCAATTGATGGCCTAACTTCCGCTTCACGCTTTAATCAATTTCGTACCAGTAAACATAAGAATTTTTCCGATTTTTCATGTGCACATTTCTCTATGCTGCTCATTCTTTGGGCTCGTTAGACTACTGTATCTTAAAGCTTAATTTACTAGAAAATGCACATAAAGTGTTTCTAATAATAGAAAGTTTCAAATTTAGACACAATTTTCAAAACCAGTCCAAAAATAGCCAAATCCGAGCCAGATGAAACTATTTTCACCGGTTTTCTGTGAATAGCTATGATGAATATTTCATATTTCTATCAGCAAACAGCTGAAAAAATTTCCAGAAGATTCAATATTTAAAGGTGCAAATCAGCTAATGGAAATTCTCTTTTTGCACATAATTTCTTTATTTTTTGGCTAAAAATCGAATTTTTGGGTTTTCTAGAATTCCAAGGAAATTTAAAAATTTTTATTTTGATTTCTGAGATTTAGATGAGCTTCTGGAATCCGATTTTTACGACTATGAAAATGAATTTCCTGCAATACACCAAACTTTACGACAAATTGCACAGAAATTCAAAATACTTAATTTTCAACCTAAAAAACGATTTTCTAGGCTAAAAAGGCTACAGAATCCGAATTTCAGGTTTAAAACCTCTGATAGTTAACACTTAACTGTCAAAAGCCCAATTTTACATCTTAAACCATAGACTACAAACTAAACACTACAATTGATCTTCTGGAGTTTCACGACTCCTTTCGAAATTTCTCTTTTTTTGAAATCTGACACCTCACACCGTCCATGATCCTCTAATTCTCTATCAACGCAATAAATCTTCCCAAAAGAGAGCTTCTTTTCTTTATTTTTCCCTCCCCATCAAAATAATCCGTTGTCTGTGTGGGGGTGGGGTCTTAGTCAGTAAGAATACGAGGAACTCTTGGTTATTTTTTATAAGTTCTTCCATTTTTTTCTGACTAAATGAGTTCATTTTTTCTTTCCATTTTTTGTTCTTTTATTTTCGGAAATTAGCTCATTCACTCCAGTGGTCTCCTTGTCATTTCTGAAAACACACACCTCCCTGGTCGCCCGCTACTCTCAGATCTCTGGTGTACCGCGTAGCTTATAGGCTTACACTTTCGTCTACCAATCTCACCACCCTGGTTCGATTCCTCTTGGCGGCAAATCTTTTTTTCTACATTTTTCAAAAACGGATTTGACATCTGAACAAACATCAGATCCTCGTAAAAGATTTGGGCCGCATCGCTGTGGTGTCTGAAAATGAAATAAAAAATTTCAGTGTTCCTTCCCATTTTCTGAAAAGCCGAAAGATAGAAAAACTTCCAAATTTCGTTGTTTACCACGGCGCCAGAACCACTGTTCCGCCTTCTCTTTTTTTTCTTCATTCTTTCCTGTTCCATAAATCACCGTGCACTATATACGCTACTATGTGCGACGCTCAAATCGCTGCTCCCACTATGTCTAGAGGTAATAGCGATGTTTTTTTTGCTAGAAGACGTCATTTCTAGTCATTTTTAATCTTGAAAAAATAATCAAAAAAGGTTTGGTATGGGTGGGGTTTGAACCAAAATGGGTCAGCCCAGCAGTCAGAGCTGCTAGCCAGTCGGCCAAACCTGCAGTGTTTAACTTCAAGGGAGAATGGAATTATAAGGGTGGTAGCTTGCTAATAGCATGGTGGCTCCATAAAGGAGCCATGAAATCAGATATGTGATCTTCCACCTCCAAGAAGACCTTCTAAAAGCTTCTTTTCCCCCATAAACTAAAAAAAAGATTCTGAATTTCGATTAACTTTTGTTGTTTTTTTATATTTTGCTCTCCTGGCCTCCCTCGTTACCCAGAAAAACTAAAAATAGAACTTTTTGTTGTTGTCAGTTATATATTTCGCTTATTTCAGAGATGATCTCGTTGTCCGTGCCACGCAACTCTCGTTCGTTGAGCCCAGCAATGGCAAGAAGTGCTCCTAGTTCGCCGATGACTCGTGGACCAGGTGGAATTGGTTAGTTTGATGGGTTCGAAGGTAGCTGACTGAAATTAAGTCATTTTTTAACTAGCAAAAAAATTAGTCTAGGAACTTATTTTTGAGGTTTTTAAACTCAATTTCATAAGTGTTTTTTACTACTTTAGTCTAATTCGATTGCATTGGGTTTAGGTTACTGTAGTTTTGAATCCAAACTTTGAATCAGATTTTGCGCCTTTAAAACTTGAGATATCATTAAATCAATTTCAAATACGCAATCAGCACGAAAATTGGGTCTAGACTTACTTTTTTCTGCAGCTCTATCTCTGATTCCGCGACTTCAGGGTTACTGTACCCTCGTTTTTCTGCGCTCACCAAAGAATGCACAATACTTTGCGACAAATTGTACACAAACGGTTGCTAAAAGCTTTCTAAGAGTAAACGGTCTCTTCAGACTCGATTGTTCGCCTTTTTTTGAAACTAAGAATCGAGAAAAACCCCAAAAATAGGATTTTTTGGAAAAAAGTATTCTTAAAGATTTTTTTCCAAAATTCGAGGAAATCCATAATTTTTTTTGGAACTTTCCGGAAAAAATTCTAAAATTACGTCAATTTTCTCTTCTCTCATCTCTGGGATGAGTTGTCACATACGAAATGTCCCTTTTCAGTTTTCTTTTTTTTCGAATTTCGCAAAAAAGGAAAACGTCAGATCTCAAAAACTCAAATAAACTAGCTCTTATCTATCTCTTTTTGACCCCTGACCCTCTTTTTCTTTGACTTTTTTTCAGAAAATAGAGTTACTAGATAAACTTTTTTATTTGGCAATTTTACTTGGTGTTTCTTTGAAGTTTCAGTCTTTTGCCAATTTGTTTTTTTTTTTGGATTTTTGAATATATTTTCCCCCTGTCTAATCCTCAATCGAGGTCATGAACATGAGGCAATAAACGATAATCCAGGGTTTTATTAATTCTTATCCGTTCCAAGAATGACACGTAATCTGGTGACGAAATTTTTTTCGAGGTCAACAGAAATTTATTTTGGCTGAAATTTTTCTGAAAAAGGGAATTGAGTTACCAGTTGAAGAAAATTTTGAAATTCTAAAATGTTACTATTAACAATCACCAAATTCTGTCTGTGTGTTCGTTTGTTCCCGGTTCCACGACCATAGCGAAGTCGCCAGTAGACCGAAAATTTTCAAATTTTCACAGATGATCCAAAATAGCAGCGAGATGATGCCCGTCTATTTTATGTTCCGAAATTTTGAGTTTGACGCCTTCTGGAGACGTTCTTCTATTTCTACAGTGCAAATCTTTCGAAAATAATATTTACGTCATTCCCGCCCAACCCCCTCTTTTTTCTTATCCTCGCTATATCTGAGAAAAAGGTGATTTTGTGGAAATAATTATTTAGTTTTAGTTTTGAAAGAAGAGAGAAAGAAAAAGTTCAGTAAACTTTAAAATTCTGACTTTCTGAATCCACTAACTTCTCAAAAACTGAATTTCGGAGATTCTGATTCACGAAATTTGATTATTTTTTTCGAAAATGCGAAATTTCTAACCATTCCTATGCTTCAAACATTTTGGTTTCACTCTGAAATTCTAAAATTCTACTTCAGAAATTCGGAAAATTGGAAAAACGGGAACTCGAAAATACCGAGATTTGAAACTTCGGGAATTTTAAAGTTTGAAAATCAGAGAATTCAAATGTCCAATGTTTCGGAAATTCAGAAGTATAAAAATTCAGATATTCGGAATATTACGAAATTAAAAAATTTGAAAGTTAGAACACTCGAAATTTTGAAAATCCAAAATCTCGAAAGCAAAAAACCAGAAAAACCAAAAACTTAGAAGTTCAAAATATCAGAAAACCCAAGTTCGGAATTTAGAAAATTCGGAAATTCATAAACTTTGTGAA